AGTTCCTTAGTCTTCTACGCTCAGTGGACTTATCATAGGTTTGTACCGAAGTCTTATGCAATACCGGTAACATTCCTCTATGTATGTGTAATGTTACACTTCGCATAGATGCCTTTGAGCTTCCAAAGCTAGAAGAACCCAGCCTGGTGTACCTAGGTAACAGCCACATGAGGTCAACTGATCGACAGAAGACAGTTACCATAACACAGATATAATTTCAAAATTTCGTCATAGGTGGGATTTGAACCTTAGACCTGCCACTTGGAGGATGACAATGTATACAAAATTTTATATAATATTTTATATATTTATTTTACTAATATAAATAAAAAGATCTTAATTAACTATTAAAAATATAATCAACTATATAATATTAAATAATATTTGTGATGTTATTATTATTTACAAACTCTAAGTACTTTTGTTCAAATCTTATATATTCTAACATTAAATTATTATACTAAGTATTATAATACAAAAATCTTAAGTATTTTTAACATAAACTCCAAATATCTTTATATAAACTTTAAATATTTTTATACAAATCTCATGTCTAAATACAAGTCCTAAATGTTTTAAATACAAATAATAAATAATATAAACAATATTTCTAATTGTTTTTATATAGTTTCTATTATCTCAAATATAATATTATTCAAACCTTCATTATTTTAAGTATAATAATATTTAATGTTGTTTGAATTTCTATTATCCTAAATATAGTATCAAGTAATATTACTCAAATCCTTATTATTTCTGTTAGGTAAAAAAATATATAAAAGGTATCTTTTTCTTTTCTTTACTAATTCTAAATTTCTATACTTCAACCTAGACCTTCTATCTTTATCTCTAACTTGTAATAATAATATTTATCTTTTAAGATAATTCTTATAAATAAAATTGTTACTATGTATTTATTTAATAAAGTTAATTTATATACTATTACTATTTTGAACTATTTGCTTGTTACTATGTAGTAAAATGAACTACTACACCTTTACTTTATATATATTTACAATAATCAATTACTGTATCAAATAACCTTATTACTTGGTTGTATTGTACCAAGAAAGCTACAACCCTACAACAATACTAATAATTAATAACACATTAATATTATAATAAAATAAAACAAATTAATAACAATAAAAAAAAATATTCAAAACACAAAATAATAAAAAAAAACCTGGGTATCAGAAAATAGTAAAAAACTATACCTTATAAATTTGTCATGCTCTGAAGAATCAAAATCAGTAAAAAATGTAATAGTTGATATAGATAATGAATAATATAATAATATATTTCAAAAATAAAAAAAAATAATATAATTTAAAAAATAATAAATTATTATATATATTATTTATAAAATCTAATCTAATCCAGCTCTTGACAGTTAAATTAAAGTATATTATATTTGATTCGACATTTAAGAACATGAAAAGAGTTAAAAAAAAAAAAAAACATGAAAAGAGCTACAGTATATATTGGTTTTAGTTTTTTATTTACGAAGTTATTCAAAACCAAATCATATAAGGACTTAGCTTTTAAAAAATTTACGCATAGAAGCTTTTGTTCAAAGTTGAAAACAACGATAAGAGAGATCTAATCACTACTGATAAATATTACAAAATGAGCTGCGGCAGTGACATTGATCATCGATCTGACATGCCGACATCGATCATCGACCCGAACATTGGAGGACAGTGATTGACCAATCAGATTACAAGATCAAAAACCGCCGTAACTCAAAATTTCGTCTATGTAACCATCTTCTGCGCATTATTAAAAAAAATTCCTTACAAAATTTTAGTATAAAATAAGTATCATTATAATTATAAACCTGACCTTAATGTACCGTTTTATGACTTTAAAAAAAATGTCGATCAGTGAAAGTCTGTCGATCATTCACTAGATTGATCGACGTTAGCCCGAATTAAACTAATTTTAGGACTTGAAGAGAATTCTAAAGAAATATACCAAATTAAGAGAAGAATTTTTTGTTGTTAGAGCACGAAAGCAGATTCAATATTAATATTGTAAGCTATTTGGATTTGTAATAATTAAACTATTTAATGAATATTCATTTTATTTGCGTTGATTAGTTTGAACATTTTGAGCATAGAAGTTATTTGCATTTAAGTCACACGAATAGTTTCTAGCGAATATAATACGAGTGATGAGTGGTGTAAGGCAAGACTATTTAATGATCGACCTCATAAAAAATTCGTGATAAATACTTGCGGCTCAATCAACGATCAATAATAATACAATAACATGTTGAAATTACATTCTGACTGTATTATAGTCTTATAAATTACCTAATCACGAATTTTTTTTTTGCCACGACTATTTTACCTATCACATATCGACCAACCATACTCGAAATTTTTTTATGATCGGTCACAATCAAACAAATCAAATAATCAATCATTCTTTATTAGTCTACAATGAAACATGAAATGATGTAATGTAAGTAATGTAAATATTTCCAAACATCCAAATTTAATAAACAAAACAACCTGTGAGCGCCAAGCATGTGCAATAGCCAACAGTCTGAAATTAGGTTGCTGCGCTTGATCATCAGGGAAAATATAGTCGAAGTATTCTTCCCACACGACCCCTTGTCCTTCAGTTTCTTCCAATTTCCGTCGTTTCTTCACCACTTTCGGCATCTTTGCTTCAACTGCAGATAACATCTCTTTCGTGCCATTATTGCTTTCAAATTCTTTCCATGATTCAAGGAGTAGAACGCGCTACAAAGCAAATATAAACATTTAACAGTTTGAATCTTAAGTGAATATAAATTACATCTGTGACTTTACCTCTTCTTTTAATTCTTTCTCCTTCATACTGGCGTATGCTTTCTCGAACACTTTACGAGCTCGTTCAATGGCTATTTCACGATTTCCTTCGTCAGCATTTAATTCAAATTGTGCAAAACTAATCCAAACTTTAACATGTCCAGTTTTTTCCAACAATCGTTCATATAACAGTCTTGTTTTATTGAATTCTTCTTCGGAAAATTCGAAGTCAATATAAGCTTTCCATAATAATTCCGGCATGTCCAGTATAGGCTGTTCGACAGCAAGCTCGAAAATTGCACGGCAGCGGTCATAATCTCCTAGCATTCTTTCTAATTCTGCAAATTTTATCCATGCATAACAATTCGCTGGATTATGTTCCAAATATTTGGTATATAAAATTCTACAGCGATCAAATTCCCGGAGCTTTGAATAGTAATTATAGCAAAGTCAATGATTTTCATTATTTTTATATAAGTATTTTAAAAATCAACATATTATACCTGCAATTCTAATTCAATATATCCTTTAAAAAGTTTGTCTTTTGGACAAATGCCTATAATAAAGAACGAAATATATGATAAAAAATGCGATAATTATATCAAAACAACAGAACGAAGGTTCAAAGTTACCTATAGCATTTCCAAGAGTCTTCCTAGCAGCTTGTAAATTCAATTGCCGTACTTCAAACTGAGCATAAAGTAGCCATATCTTTGCAAATGTGAACTTTTTATGGGGGATTAATTTAATACATTCTTGATATATTTGCCTCGTCCGTTCATAATCCTATATAAGCATTTGAGTGCAGAAAGTGAATCAATATCGAATTATTAAATAGTAATTGCCATACCAAACCTACCATTGCTTCGAGCTCCTCATAAAGAGCATAGTAAATCCATAAATAAATATATCGTCGCCAAAATCTTTTTTCTTGTGTTGGCGGCATTTGTGCAATTGCTCTCTCATAAATTTCTCGAACTTTTTGTGAATCACCTGCATTCTCTTCCAACCGTGCATAATCAAACCATATGTCATAATTCTTTGAATTTGTTTTTAATTCCTATTATGACGTGGATTATATTATTAATAGCATGAATATAGCAAATATATGTGGTCAAAGCTAGATCGAAGATACCTCTTCATATTGTGCCCTTCGTTTCCCAACGACAACATCCTCAATACCATCTTTGTCCCCGTATTGCTTCTCAAATTGTGTATATGCGTTATAAAGCGCTTCAGATTTTGATCGAGGCAGTTTTTCCAAAGAATACTTATAAATAATTCGAGCTCTTTCAAACTAGCAATATTAATAGTACTAACATTTATTTTGTTATCTTAATCTTAATTAATAATAAAGCACCCCAATTAACGAACCTCTTTTAATCTAGTCTCAAATTTTGCAAAAGCAACAAAAATTTTTTGATCCATATGATCGTCACCCAAAATTTCAATCGCTTGACTAAATATTTCTCTACATTTTTCTGAAATGCATTAATTGAAATTCGGTCAATTAAAAAAAAATTAAGATTAAAATAAAAAGTGCTAATGAAATACCTAAATTATTTTGCTCTTCTTCAAATTTTATCCATTTAAGCCAATTTTTTGGTTCTGGATGTACATTAACAAATCTTTCATAAATTGCTCTGGCTCTATCAATCTCATTATATCTTTTTTCCATTTTTATATACGCATTCCACGCTGATTCATCAGGTTCCCACTGCATCCAGCGTTCAAAAATTTGGCGAGCACTTGCCACATTACCCAACATTTCTTCCATATAAGTGTATTTATACCTTTACAAGTTATAAACAGTTAGATGGTTCATACAAATCACGACTGAATCAAAGAATATTTACCAAAATTGGTCTACCCGCGGTAGCAAAGTTACAGCACGATCAAATAAGTTTCTCGCATGATTTATATTACAATTTTTCATTTCCATTTCTGTGTATTTAATAAAAAGAGTTACATTTCGAGAATCCACATCGAGTGCTCTTTCGTACACTGAACGCGCCCTAAACAAATTATAAAAAGTTAAAAAATGGGATATAATTCACATTAATATAGAAATGTTAATACCGATTCAACTCCTTTTGACTTTCTTCCCAAGCAGCATATTTTAACCAACTCCCAATATTTAAGCGATTTCTTCGAATAGTATCTTCAAACTCTTTTCTTTTTCGCAGACGATACTCAGACAATTCTTCTAAATCAGAAATCTTTTGACGAGGTGCTTTTTTAGCTGCCTCTTGACGCTCTTTAGCTTCCCGAAGGATTTGTTCAGCTGTAATTTGAATCGGGGCAGGATTTTTATTTTTAATCTAGTATATAGCCAATAAATCATTAGGTAAATCAATGGTAAATTAAGCAAATTGAAGGAAAATATAAGCTAACCTTCGGAGGCCCCCGTTGCTGCTTGTAAAGATTAGGTACTTGAGTGGGATCCATATTGAAAGTATTCGAATATTTCCTCTTTGTGAAGACTGTTATTCCAATAAAATATAAAATAGGTTATTGCAGTAAAGTATAAAATAGACTATTTCCACACGTGACTAATAATCAAATTTTTATCACGATACGTAACGATAAAATTACCGTTACGTTTTTAAGTGTCGGAATCCAAGAAGAGCTCTAACGTTTATTAATGACAATGGTTTGTAATTTTATTTACTAAAATGAGAAAGCTCGGTTGGTAATTATAATTTATTATTTTTAGAGTAAAATCTTACAACCGAATCCTATAAAATTTGACAACCAAGTATTTGACTTGGCCTTTCATCCACAACAAAATATTATCGCTTCTGGTTTGATTACTGGCGAAATTTTTTGGTAACGAAATATTCACACGCATAATAAAAGCTACATAAAATTAATTGTCTTTAATTGATTTCATTAGTCACCGATACTTTTGCGAAAGCGACGCTAAAAACATTAATTTGTTATCAATTCGTCCACATAAAAAATCATGTCGTGGACTGGAGTTTAACTATGACGGAACTGGTAATATTTGTTCATATCTACAACATTGGAATTCCTTATCTTAATGTTCATGTATCATATAGCTTTATTTAGTGTATCTAAGGATAAATCAATTCAAGTTATTGACTTAGAAACGAGAAAAGTCTTGATAAAGAATCGTGATGCACATGAGTACGTACAAATGGTGTTGTAAACATCTTATTCGAATTTTGGTAACTAAAGAGCATTCTTAAACAGTAAGCCTATTAATTGTGTATTACGCTTGAACGAAACTTTGCTGGCTACAGGTGATGATGATGGCTGCATTAAGGTAATTGTTATTCTGTGATTATAATTGCAATAATATGCATTTATGGAATAATATTAATTTATCCGGATTTAGTAGATATGGGACACACGAACTGGCAATAGTCTTATGGAATATTCCGATCATGTGGATTTTATTTCAGATTTCTCCTTTCGTGATGATATTAAAACGCTTGTTTCAACAAGGTACACGTGATTTTCCACCAAGAAACAGAAGTTGGATGTTTAATTGACAATTTTTTATGAACATAGTGGAGATGGAACACTATCTGTATACGACATACGGAAACCAGACCTGGTGGCTATGTCAGATAATCAAGATGATGAATTACTGTCTGTTACAGTTGTGAAGGTAGATTCTAAAATCGTCTGTATTGAACTTTTAACATGATATTGATCAAAATTATACGCGTAGAATGGTAGGAAGGTAATTACTGGAACTCAAGATGGTGTTATCAATTTATTTTCGTGGGGAAAATGGGGCGATTCCAATGATAGACTTGTAGGACACCCAAATTCAGTAGATACGATTGTCAAAATAACTGAAGATTTGGTGTGCACAGGATCTAGTGATGGTATAATAAGGTAATTAAGTTTTTTTTTTTGGTTTAGTTTATGTTTTATTAAATATGTATTTATTTTTATTGTATAATAGGGTCGTTGAAATCCTTCCGAACAAATTTTGTGGGGTTGTCGGTGATCACGAAGATTTTCCTATTGAATGTATACGAATATCTTTTGATAATACATTTCTTGCTAGTTGTTCTCATGACAATACTGTGAAATTATGGGACATTCGATATCTTTACGAGAACAAAACTGACGATTGTTGTGATGAAACTGATACAAACATGAGGCCCATTGATTTTGATAGTGATAATAATAGGAAAAAGAAATCTATAACTACCACAAGTCTGAACAATAACTTCTTTGCTGATCTGTAATTATAAATTCACTGTGATGGTATAAAATGCAAAGATTGGTTTGCAAATTTATTGTCAGTTAAATGTACATCTGAAATTAGTCAATTTTTTTTTGTTTTTTTTTTAGCGTAAATGACCTATTTTACATTATAATCAATGAATTTCGGGTCAGACCTGAATTCTCCAGTATTCATGTTGATATATCCTATAAATATTTACTACGAAATTAAACTAATTCTCCAGTATTCATGTTGATATATCCTATAAGTATTTACTACTAAATTAAACTAAATTATATAAAAACTATATGTAGTATAAAGACGATTTCTATTTGTAGACACTATGTATATGTTACTCTCAGACCCGGGGATGCTCCGGGGCTAGGTCTCAATTGTTTTAAATCTTGGATTTTGTAGTTTTTTAGATTTCAAATTCTGTAGTGTCGTACTACGGGAAATTTGGTGCTTTAAAAATCCCTATTCATAGGGTACTCGAAAGTCTCTCGCGTAACAACAGTCGTGTTAGTACTCAAAAGAGGCGTCGGATTTAGCGAGTACTAAGGGTAAGTATTACTTTATTAGCTTTATATCTGAGACTTATTTGTTTACATTTAAAACGCATTATTTATATATCTTTTCTCTAGATGCTATATTTACTAAATACACTAAATGCATTAATATGCTTTATACATTAATTGCTCTAACTACATTACATTTGTTATATCTACTAATGATGTTACATCTATTGTTTTGTCTTTCATTAATATGGGAAAATAAATGGGTTTATTCTTGCTGTGATCAAGCACTCTATGTAAATTTTATAGCATTGATTCTTTATTTATTTATTTTTTTTTTATTTTTATTTTTTTTATTTTTTTTTTTTTTACTATTCAACAGACTATTACAAATCTTAAATGACTGTTATCTTGATAAGTCATAACTAGTAAATGATAAGTTATTCTGTAAACAATCATTTTAATCAATAATAAAACATCTTATAATTGTTATTATAGCAGGTTATCTATTAACAAATCCTCTTATTTAAAATAATCAAAAATTAATAATTCTTTTAATAATTCTAGAGTAAAAAAAAAGTAATTAATAAAACTAAACTAAAGTTAGATTTATAAAAAAAATAAAGTTATCTCTAACTCTATTTATTAAAATATTTAAATACTCAAATTAATTTAATTTAAATATATTAATATTAGTGGTCAGGTTGTCAACTTCCAAGTGGCAGGTTCAGATTCAAATTCCAGTGTTAACAGAAAATTTAAAAATCCTTTTTGTGTTATGGTTAACTATCTCTTGCAATTGGTTGGAATAAGATATCTGTTACCTATGTCACACTAGCATGACTGGCAGGTTATATGACATTTGTGCAATAATTACATGACATTGTTCTTTGGGACAAGGTCTGTGGTTACACAAAGAAATGCAAACCAGTATCAGGCAGTGCAAACTTATAATAAGTTTTTGTGATCATATAAATCATAGTAACCAAAAGAAGAAAGACAGAAGCCTATTTAAAAAGCTTAAGTCAAGAGATAACCTGAACTTTTGATAGTGCTACTGTAAAGACTAGACTTATGAAATAGAGTTAGAACTTATGAAACTGGGCAAATGTGTCAGTCTTTGAGAAAGGACTGCATAAATCAATCAGGCTGTTAGAATTTTTGGGTTTCAAAGAAAAAGAGTACATGCAACAAACATATAAACTAGAAGTGTATGATTTTGACCTATCTTTCTGAGCTATTTGGAATGACAGCTTGGTAGAACTTGAATTAAATACAAAAATAGTAAGAATATGTTGTGAAGTTAGTACCGGAGTTAGGGTGAACTCTACAAGGACATAGCGATTTAATGGTATATCTTGATCATCAAAGTTGGTCTTGATTATAGCAATACTGAGTCAGCTGTAAGAATAGGATACAGAAGATTCTGGAAAGTTTAGTACAAGGTCAAAGGTTCCAAAGAACTGCTTTAAAGATTTAGTGGTCATAGCATATTTTCATTAGCATTGGCTAAAATCGTTAATAGGCAGAAGTAAGTAGATGAATATAGAAACAGAATAGTTAAATAGGAAATCTACAAATAAATTTTAAGTATGATAGCTAGTGTAGAACCTTCGGGCAGACTACTTAAATTAGACAATAACTAAAGTTGTACAAGTGGTTAGTTGTATACTCTCTTCATGGTTGCCTTCTGTAGTTGTAATGCAATTATTAGCCAAATATACTATCAATAAAATCCTGGGTCACAAGTATTCATCTTAATATTTAAAAAAAAATAAATATATATATTAATATTACTAAACTATAGGTTTAGTTCAGTTTAGGTTTATGAACTAAGTTCATTAAATCTGAACTTAATTTCAAATTTTGCAAATTATTAAACCTGAACTTGAACTGAACTTAAAATTGATGAATTTAAATTGAATTTGAACTTAAAATTTAATTTAGTTTAAGTTTAATTTAAAATTTATTTTTTTAATTTTTATTAAACTAGACTTTTTTGGAGCTGAGGCTTTTTAGTTAGTAATTAGAATATAGAAACTTATAATTAAAATCTTAAAGAAGCCACCTTTACATTAGAGAGTACAACTAGTTACATGTATACTTTTGATATCTAATTTAAGTAGTTCATCAATGGTTCTACACTAGTTATTATATCTGCAACCTAATTAAAGACATTACTTATTTAAATTCTTTGTACTACAATTTTTACTGTGTTATTAGATTATCTTTAACATATATGTTAGTTAAAAAGATTTAGATGCTTATCTGTATTCTTAGAATCTATATCTTATTTCATGTAATATATTCTTAGAAGCATTATTACTAGAACTTTCTGTGTCTTATATATAGATAATCTAGTTTTATATAATATATCATAGTTACTTAACATTTGTAGTCAGAACTAACCTTTAGGGTTCCACAATTGATTTGATTTGATTTGATCAAATATTTGAATTCAAATCAAATTAAAATCTGAAATTTTTAAATCAAATCAAATTCAAATTTGATCAAATTTGATTTAATTTAACAAATATTAGATTTGATTTGAAAATTTATAATTGAATATTTAAAATTATAAGCCATTTACTTGAAATTTTATTAAAATAATTAACTTTTTGTTCTATAAAACTATAGGTATTTTGTTTAGACAAATATTTTCAATTAAGCACTCAAAATTGATTAATATAATAAAATATTTTGTAAATTAAGTTTTTTTATTATTGATCAAAATTTTAAATTTTTTTGAAAATCAAATCAAATTCAATTATTTGATTCAAATATTTTATCAAATTAAATCAAATTAATGATATATTTGATTTAACTAAATTCAAATCAATCTAATATTTAATTTAATTTAGTTTGAGAAACCCTACTAACCTTAAACTATTACTTTATACTATTTTTATTTTTATAAAATTTATCCAAATTCTAGTATTTATCTTTCTAACATCTTCTTTATTATTCTCTACTAACTATAATTTAAAACTAAAAGATTTTTCAGACTTCTAATTCAGATGACCTAATATGATATATCTTAGTATTCTTTTCTTTTAGAAATTTTAGTAACCTGGTTGGTCATATCCTTCTCTATATATGTTTGATATTTAATTTATTTGTCTATTCTTATAAAGATGTTTTGTGAACTTTTATCAAACTGACAACACTATCAAATATTTGTGTTATCTCTTTACTCATAAATTTCTAAGTAGGATTCTGTCTTCTTAATTTTTTAATCTTCTGTACCTAATGGTCTTATTATAAATTTGTAATGAATTCTTATACAATACTAGTTATTAATATTTCTCTATATATATATAATGTTACAGTTTACATAGATGCTCTAAGCTCCTAATGATAAGTAGAATCTGACTTAGTATATCTGGATTACAGCTGTATAAGGCCAACCAATTGATAAAAAACAATTTTTATAATATAGATTAATTTTTAAATTTTATTATAAATGAGATTTGAGTCTTAGATCTATTACTTAAAGGATGACAACCTAATCACTATATTAGAATTACTTTTTTTTTTTTTTAATGTTAAGGTAAGTAATTGTAACTCAGAAGTTTATTGATAATCAGTCGGCATATAACTATTATGTACAACAGCTATAGAGGCAATTATAGAAAGAGTATACAACTAGCCACTCATACAACTTTAGTCATTGTCTATTTTAAGTAGTCTACTTGAAGGTTCTACACTAGTTGCCATACCTAGAACCCGCCTGTGGGTTCTCTATTTAAACACTCTAGTTTCTGTATCCACTTCTACTCTATCAACTGCAGCTATTGCTGCAAATATACCATGGTTACTAAGTCATGTTTAACTTTATACTAAGCCCACTGGAGCCTTCCATATCCCATGCTTACAGCTGACTCAGTACCACTCTGGCCTAGACTATCACTTGCAATCAGGGCTAATCATTAAACTGCTATACCCTTGTAAAGTTTACAGGGACCCTGATACCTTCTTTTCCTAACTTCTACACCCTTATTTCTGGACCTACAAGACCCACAAGACTTTCCAAACTACCAATCCAAATGGCCCATCTGGCAAACCCGGTAGCCTGGTTGGTATATGCTCTTCTATACATGTTGTCGTCCGATCCATCTGAGGTTCTAGTAATCCTTTTTTGGAGGCTTCCGATGGTTCAGTAGTATCATCGAAAGTCTATGCTATCTCTTTACTCAGAATTTCCAAGTGGGTTTTTGACTCTTCGGTTTCTTTGCTTTCTATGCCTCATGGTCTTATTATGGATTTGCACTAAAGTCTTATGCAACACTGGTTATTAATATTCCTCTATGTGGGTGTAATGTTATACTTTGCATAGATGCCCCAAGCTCCTATTCAAGATAGTGCAACAAAGGTTACAGATACACAAATCCAACTGATCGACAAAGACAGTTACCATAACACAGACCTTATTTTCCAAAATTCATTATCTATGGGATTTGAACTCTAGACCTGCCACTTGGGGGTTGACAACCTGACCACTTCACTA